ATTGAAGGAAACCTCCAGGCTTTAAGAAAAAAACAACTGTAAAAGCAAAAAATAAATAATGAACAAAAACCAAAGATATTATCAAATTTAGGTTAGGGTACAGTGGCTCAGGCCTATAATCCCAACACTTTGGGAGGCTGAGGCAGGTGAATGGCTTGAGCCCAGGAGTTTGAGACCAGCCTGGGCAACATAATGAGACTCCCCATCTCTAGAAAAAAGTACAAAAATTAGCCTGGCGTGGTAGCCTATAGTCCCAGCTACTCAGTGGGGTGAGGAAGGGGGGCCACTGAGGTGGGAGGATGACTTGAGCCTGGGAAGTTGAGGCTACTATGAGCTGAGATAGTGCCATGGCACTACAGCCTAGGTGACAGAGTGAGACCCTGTCTCAAAGAATAATAATAATGAATTTAGGTTGGTCACGTGACCTGTGCTAAGACTCTTTGGAAACCACAATGACTTCGAGTTAGGAAGGTCCTTAAAAGTCATATTTAGTCCCATGTCTTTTCACACAATGGAACATTGACAAATTCTCCTTGTGATTCCATTCAACCTCTGCATAAAAGGTGTTTCACTGCTTTACAGGCAGCCCCTTCCGCTGAAAAAAGCAAAGGGGCAGGAGCCGCACTTCTCTGTTTGCAGTTTCCCCGCTTTGGCCCTACTTTTGCTTCAGCCACTTCAACTAGAATAAAACGACTCTCTTATTCATGTGACGATTCTTCTATAAGAAAGCAAATGTCACCATCAAGATTTGCCATTCTGTTCTCTCATCTAGCATCCCTCCTTAATTCGTTCAGTTGCCCTATCACAAAATGAACACTATCTAAGAGTTTAGGGAAGAAAAAGAATTTGGGGGAAAAACAGTCATATACAAATCAGTTAAATCAAATATCTTCATCCAGGACTAAAACACATTGCTTAATTGAGGTTAAAAAACTTAGAAGATATTGACAGTTCATTTCAGGGTATTCTACTCATTTTATAGAACTTTAAATTGACTAACTCATCAAAGTATTTATTTATGAGGAGAAGCCAGCTGGACCTTTGAAAATGTACCAAAACAAATGACATGCCCACAGGTCCCTTCCAGGCCTCTGCCCACCACAGCAGTAGGGCTGACTATTTGAGAACAGCAGGTGTCTGCTGAATGTCCTCAGCTTTTTTAATTGGTCTTTCCCAGGGTCTTCCTGGCGTGAAGGCCACAGTGTGGGGGATTTCTCAGAAGCTCAGCCTCAAGGGGAAGTTACTCTGCATTCAAGAGGAGCGCCAGAGGGAGTCTGATCCTTCTGAGAGCTGAGGCTTCCTCTGCTCAGAAACCAATTCCTCCAAAGGCTGATGGGCCCAGTGGATAGATTGGAAGGGGAATAAAAAAAAAAAAAAAGAAAGAAAACACACCAACAAGAAGGATAAAGGAATGTTTCAAAATTCTGAAAAAAACAAGAGGGAGCATATACCCCTAATAAGGAGCTGTATTTAACTGTTTACTAATAAAAACATCCTAGAAATTTAAAAATCTCTTACAGCTTTTGAGATAATCAAATGTGCCCTGTTTCAAAGGCACCTGCCATACAATGATTTAATTGCCATTGAATGATTTAAACCCAATTTTTCTTGGCTTTTTCCAGGTCATTTGAAACTGTCATTCTAAAAAAGGACTATGCTCATATTTGTGTAAATCTGCTTTTCTTAAACCATCGTATTTATGTTAATCTGGTTTTTTAACCTCTGCATATTCCATGAACACACAAATTTCAAGACCTACGTGTGTGTGTGTGTGTGTGTGTGTGTGTGTGTGTGTGTGTGTGTGT